CCAGGCAGTGCTTCTGAGTGAAGTGTCTTTAGGCCATTCCCAAAGGGGGGGGACATTAACATCTCGAGTTCTTATGCACAGTAGAATTGTAATTGTAAATGGGCTGATTCATCAATGTCATTCTCATAACTGTGCCTGAACTACAACAGGGAACTGCTGCTTTTTCTTTCCTAATCCTTACTATCGTCATTTTCCCTCTAGTTTTTTTGTACGTTTGTCACACTCTTGTGACCCTCTATTTCGGGGGTGCCTTGATAGTCGAAGCAGGGTTTGTGCTGTTGAAGCTAGAGAGGTGAGCAGAGTAAGTCTGATTCCCCCTGTAAGGACTTCTCTGTTGACATCCACCCCTTGGCGTTCGTATGACCTTATGCAGTTTCGAGCGCCGTAAAACGTCTACTAAAACTAAAACTTAGATTTATGGAAGTTGTATTGTGGGTCTATTGATCGGACATGTTTCAATTCATTGTGCTTATTTTATGGGTGATGGTTTGAGTAAGTGGAAGTGGAGAATTACTTGAGGATAGAAGTGTCTCCGTAAAATAACACCATAAATGCATTGTGAGTTAAAAATTGAAAATGATTCTTGTGCAAAGTGCTGATGTCTAATTGGTTGGCGGGTGCTCTGGTGTGGTTTACTCATTCTTTCCTATCAAATGTCTATCAAGCTTATCTCTCCTCCTTTTTTTGTATTTGTTACTGTCTTGTAACACCTCTAATCTTCGGCATTTATATGACCTTATTGTGTTGCAAGTGCTGTAAAAAACACTTACTAAAAAAAATTGTTAGTTAAAACTTGAAAATGGGTCTTGTGCAAAGTGCTGATGTCTAATTGGTTGGCGGGTGCTCTGGTGTGGTTTACTCCTTCTTTCCTATCAAATGTCTATTAAGCTTATCTCTGCTTTTTTTGTGTGTATTTGTTACTGTCTTGTAACACCTCTAATCTTAGGCCCTTATATGACCTATTTGCGTTGCAAAAGTGACGTAAAACGCTCATTAAAACAAAGATTTTTTGCCACTGATCGGTGGGTGGTTGGCGGGTGCTCTGGTGTGGTTTGCTTCTTCTTTCCTATGAAACATCTATCGTCCTTATTCTCCCCTTCTTTTTTTATAATGTTTGTTACTCTCTTGTAACACCTCTAGTCTTCTTGTGCTCATATGACCTTATGCAGTTGCGAGCGCTGTAAAACCTCTACTAAACTCAAAAAAACTTGCCACTGATCCTGTTTCAGTGAGTCTGGAGAGGATGTGAAAGCCAAGTCGCCAGCCAGGAGCCTGTCTCCCATTGAGGAGGAGAAAGAGAGCAAGCCCAGCCCTGAGGAAGGAGAGATCTCCGCAGCGGAGGAAGAGAAGGATGTGAAGATGGAAGAGGAGGAAGAAGAGGATGTGAAGGAGACGAAGCCAGAGTTTGAGGAGCCTCGTCGCCCGCCTCCGGGTCGAGGTCGTGGGGGGCGCAGGGGTCGTGGGGGGAGGAGGGGTCGTCGAAAGAGCAGCGAGTCAGATGATGACCGCGTGGTAGCGCCGTTGAAGGATGAGGTGAAAGAGGAGGAGAAGGAGGAGGGTGAGCTCATGGACTCGACCGACGCAGAGGCTGCGGAGATGCTGATGGCTCTCGCCGGCCACATTCCCCGCACGCCCGATGTGAACAACGGCGCTACGCCTTTCGCTGCCAGTAACACGAGTGGCGCTGACACTGCCGCAGATGAAGCGACGTCGGACGATGAAGATCGTCGACAGTTTGTGAATTCGGCCATCGCGGAGCACGATTATTTCAGCACCCGGCCTCAGGAAGACGATTCCGATTCCACGGACTCGGCAGACGATGAAGCGATGCGCATAACGCAGGAGGTCTGGATAGACCACAACTACTGCTTACCGTCTGCTCGCTTCAAAGTGCGAGAGACGCCTGAAGCTCTCGAAAAAGAGGCCTTCAGGAGACTGTCTGCGAAAGACCGTAAGGAAATGGCAGCAAAGATAGATGCAACTATAGACGAAGTGATTTCCAAAGCTCACGAAAAGCCGGAGCCCAAAAAGAAGTCTCCGGTATCGGCAGCAACCAACAAGAAAGCCAAAGCCAGCACCAAAAAACTGACAGACGTGACCAATAAGGTGCGGGGTTCCCGCGAGCTGGCCAGCATTCTGCCGGACGTGGAGGTGAAACCAAAGATTACGTTCACGCCGCGCACGCTGCACGAGGAGCGGCAAGTCTTCTTCGACATCTACAACCGCGGCATGGACACGGAGGACATCGACCTTCTGAAGCGGACGTACGACACGCTCATGCAGTCAGACGACCCGGCCTTCTACTGGCTCAACGATATCCTGTGGGTGGACCACCCCAATACTCACATCCCCGACCCGCCCAAGAAGAAGAGACGGGTAGAAGAAACCGCCCGTCCACATAAGACAGGTCAGTTGCCGCAGAACTTGCTTATTATTGGCGTTTTTTTATTTTTCAATCTTGATGTGCCTGCAGCAGTGTTGTTGTTGTTGTTGTTGTTATTGATCCAAATGCAGCAGCGTATATTTCACTGGTTTTGGCCCGCAAGTGGAGCCCGGTGGGGACTTTGAAAGACTTGTCAATAGGGTAGTTGTTGGTGGCGTTGACTTTCATGGTCTTGGTGGGGAGTGTGTTACAAATACAGTGGAACCTGCTTCAACGACCTGCTCTAAAATTCAACAATCCCCTGTTACAAACAGCGACTTCCCATTTCTTCCTCATGGACTCGACCGACGCAGAGGCTGCGGAGATGCTGATGCATACTTTTTACATTATAATGACTCTGTGGGGGCTCTCGTAGTCTAGAGTTACTTATATGACCTCACTGTGTTGCAAGTGCCGTAAGACTCTTACTAAAATTAAAAAACGTCTATCGTCTTTAGTCTTTATCTCCCCTCCTTTTTTGTGTTTGTTACTCTCTTGTAACACCTCTAATCTTCGGAGGGGGCTCTCGTGGCCTAGAGTTTAAGGTGTTGGCCTCTCATTCAAAGGTCCCGGGTTCGAATCCGGGTAGCGACCGAAAAATTTTCTTCTCTAAAATTGTCTTTTTCTGCTCTCTAGCAATGTTCTGTCGTCTGCTTTCGTCTCCTCTTTCTGCCCCCACCCCTCACCTCCTTCTCCCCCTCCTCTGGGCTCCTGACTCTTTCTGCAGCCTTTCTACTGCTACTACTTGGCTCCTTCTTACTGCTGTCTTTCAGCCACACCCCTGATCTTCTGGTAGGAATGATCTACACCTAGCCTTCTCGGACAAGGGCGAAAAATCACGGAGGACTCGTGTGCAAGTTGCGCCTGTTAAAGATCCCTTGGTGGTCTAAAATCGATAAGAGTAGGCTTCTGCCGCCACCCGGGCAAAATTAAAAATTTCCTACCAACTTAAAATATTATTAGGTGTGTCCCGCGCGCTCATATGGCCTTATGCAGTTGCGAACGCCGTAAAACACTTACCCCAAAAAATTTTTTAAAATCGAATCTTCGGCACCTATATGACCTTATTGTGTTGCAAGTGCCGTAAAACACTTACTAAAACAAAAACAAGTCAATACTATATGTGATAACCCATAACACGGTGTGCTTGTGTTGGGACCAGGCTCGGCTCGCACGGAGGGCTACTACAAGGTGACCATGGCGGAGAAGGCTGAGTACCTGAGCAGCACGACCAGCCTGCACGTACAGCAACAGTCGGCAGACGAGGAGACGGCCGGGCAGGTAGGTGGTCACCTTCACCCTTCCCTAGTCGATGCACAGCTTGTCTTTTTGTGTGTGTGGGGGGGGGGGGGGGGGGTGTTCATGTTACTATTACAAATTGCTTACCTCGTCGATGCAGGGATCGCCTTTGTGTGTGTGGTGGGGGGGGTACTTGTTATTATTGCTCTTTGTTTCTGTGGGTGGTTGGCGGGTGCTCTGGTGTTGTTCTGCTCCTTCTTTCCTATCAAATTTTTGTCGTCCTTATCTCCCCTTCTTCTTTTTTATGTTTGTTACTCTCTTGTAACACCTCTAGAATCTTCTGGCGCTCATATGACCTTATGCAGTTGCTAGCGCCGTAAAACTTCCGACTAAAACTAGAACTTATTTCTCCTCCTTAATTTTTGTGTTTGTTACTCTCTTGTAACACCTTTAGTGTTGGGCACTTATATGTCAGAAAATAATTGTGTTGCAAGTGCTGAAAAATGTTTACTAAAACAAGCTTCATCTGCTTGTCTGTTGAAATGTATGCGACAGTTTTCCGCCCACACATTGAAGTGAGATGTGTGAGGTTTTTAGACAGTCGCACAGTAAGTCCAGGTCATTGCTTCACCCATGCTGCTGTTGTTCTGCTCGGTCGCAGAATGTAGCTGTCTGGGATTTGTGGATGACTACATATGTTTGCTTTCATTTTTTTAAAACTGTTCATGTCTAAACTAATATGATCTTGAATATAGCACTTGCTCTTATCAACAGTGAGAGTGTCACATATGTACCCTTTTATCAGTCAATATCTCCTTTTGTCTTAATGCCAAACTCACATCAATCAGATGTTAGGTGTTGTTGAAAACTTTGTTCTGTATCAAGTAATATGTTTTTGAAATGAAAGAAGAGAGGTAAGCAGAGTAAGTCTGATTCCCCGTTTGGACTTCTCTGTTGACATCCACCCCTTGGTGCTCATATGACTTTATGCAGTTGCGAGCACCGTAAAACCTTACTAAAACTAAAACTCAATATCCAGTATCAAATGTATGAAAAGGGTAACAGAATCTAGTGTTGAAATACCCCTTGTTTGTCTGAAGAAATATCAAGGAATGAGTGAATTTATTTAATATTTGGTTGGTGATGGTTGTTTTTTTTTCAATCTCTCCTCCATCTTTTTTATTTGTTTTTCTCTGGCAATATCTTTAGTCTTGGGTTCTTGTATGACTTAATTCTGTTGCATGTGCCGAAAAATGCTTACTAAAACAAAACTCATTTGTCTGTTGAAATGCATGCGACAGTTTTCCGCCCACACATTGAAGTGAGATGTGTGAGGTTTTTAGACAGTCGCACAGTAAGTCCCGGTCATTGCTTCACCCATGCTGCTGTTGTTCTGCGCGGTCGCAGAATGTAGCTGTCTGGGATTTGTGGATGACTACATATGTTTGCTGAATTTCTTTCTTTTTTCTTGGTTTTTTTTTGTCTCTTGTGTAAACTAATTTGATCCCGAATATGGCACATACTTTTATTAAGGCCGTCTGAGGGTAGTGTCCCCCATTTTTACTCAGTTTGACCATGCAATTTTTTTGTCTCCCTTTTTTAAACCTACATCCATTTCCCCTGAAGTTTCAAGCGCTTTTTTCAATCATGTTTAGAAGTCATGTGAAATGTGGTTTTTTTTAGTTTGCAATGTTGGGTCTTGTTTTAAAATATTTTCTGCATTTTTTTTAAAACCTAATCTCCTTGTACTAAAGCAAACTTCATCTGCTTGTTTGTTGAAATGTATGCGACAGTTTTCCGCCCACACATTGAAGTGAGATGTGTGAGGTTTTTAGACAGTCGCACAGTAAGTCCAGGTCATTGCTTCACCCATGCTGCTGTTGTTCTGCGCGGTCGCAGAATGTAGCTGTCTGGGATTTGTGGATGACTACATATGTTTGTTTTCATTTTTTTTGTCTCTTGGGTAAATTGCTTTGATCCTGAATATGGCACATACATGTATTAAGGCCATCTGCAGGTAAAATGTCCCCCATTTTTACCCAGTTTGACCATGCAATTTTTTTTCTCCATTTTTGAAACCTACATCCATTTCCCCCGAAGTTTCAAGCGTCCGTTTCAATCAATTATGTTTAGAAGTCATGTAAAAATGTTTTGTTTTTTTTTATTTGCAATTTTAGGTCTTGTTTTAAAATATTTTCTTCATTAAAAAAAAAAAATCTAATCTGCTTGTACTAAAGCAAACTTCATCTGCTTGTCTGTTGAAATGCATGCGACAGTTTTCCGCCCGCACATTGAAGTGAGATGTGTGAGGTTTTTAGACAGTCGCACAGTAAGTCCAGGTCATTGCTTCACCCATGCTGCTGTTGTTCTGTGCGGTCGCAGAATGTAGCTGTCTGGGATTTGTGGATGACTACATTTATGATTTTGTAAGCCTGTTACGTACAGCAGTGGTTGGTAGAGGGCTGGGTGAGATCATTTGTTGTTTGCTTTTACATACCGCACCACCAGACATATATTATGAATGAATGCCTCTTCTTGCCTATCAAACATCTATCATCCTTATCTCCCCTTCTTCTTTTTTATGTTTGTTACTCTCTTGTAACTCCTCTCATCTTCTGGCGCTCATATGACCTTATGCAGTTGCGAGCGCCGTAAAACCTTTACTAAAACTGAAACACATGAAGGTGGCTTGTTTTGTGCTTGCAGGAGGAGACAAAGAAAAAGCAGCAGACGTCTCGAGAGGTTCGTAACGAGAACCGACGTCTTCAGACGGCCATCGCAGCGCTACAAGAGAACCTGGAGGTGGAAGTCAGTGACCTGCTCAAGTTCAATCAGCTCAAAGTGAGTATTGTGGGTGGTTGGCGGGTGCTCTGGTGGGGTTGGCTCCTTCTTTCCTATCGAATGACTATCGTCTTTATCTCCCTTCCTTCTTTTTTATGTTTGTTACTCTCTTGTAACACATCTAATCTTCTGACGCTCATATGACCTTATTGTGTTGCAAGTGCCGTAAAACGCTAACTAAACCAGAATCTCTTGTAACACCTTTAATCTTCTGCATTTATATGTCTCTATTGTGTTGCAAGTGCCGTAAAACTCTTATGAGTGTGTGATTGGTGGGTGCTCTGGTGTGGTTTGCTTCTTCTTTCCTATCAAACATCTATCGTCCTTACTCCCCCGTCTTCTTTTTTATGTTTGTCACTCTCTTGTAACACCGCTAATCTTTTGGTGCTCATATGACCTCATGCTGTTGCAAGTGCCGTAAAACCTCTACTAAAACATAAAAGAAACATCTATTGTCCTTATCTCCGGTTCTTCTTTTTTATGTTTGTTACTCTCTTGTTGCACCTCTAATCTTCTGGCCTCATATGACCTTATGCAGTTGCGAGCGCTGTCACTAAAACTAACTAAACGACTCTCTCTAACTGTGTGCTGTTTGTGGTTGCAGTGTCGCAAGAAGCAGCTGCGGTTCGCCAAGTCAGGCATCCACGACTGGGGGCTGTTTGCGCTGGAGCCCATCGCGGCCGACGAGATGGTCATAGAGTACGTGGGCCAGGCCATCCGTCAGCCAATCGCGGACCTGCGAGAGAAGCACTACGAGAACACGGGCATCGGTAGCTCGTACCTGTTCCGCGTGGACCACGAGACCATCATTGACGCCACCAAGTTCGGCAACCTGGCTCGCTTCATCAATCACAGTTGCAATGTGAGTGGCCTCTATCTCTCCCCTTTCCTGGTTTTTTTTCCCGCTTTTCTGCTGTGTCTCTGTCTCTGTGTGTATATATCTGTTTTTCTGTCTGTGTCTGTCTCTCTCTGTCTCTGTGTATATCTCTGTCTGTCTGTCTGTCTGTCTCTCTTTCTCTTTCTTTCTGTCTCTTGTCTCTGTGTCTCTCTCTGTCTCTGTGTATATCTCTGTCTCTCTCTGTCCGTCTCTCTTTGTCAATGTCTCTCTCTCTCTCTCTCTCTCTCTCTCCCTCTCCTCCCCCCTTCGACAGGCCGAAGGGCTAGAACCCAAATGGCCGCTGGATCGGAAAAGTAAAGTGAGTAAAGTAAAGTATGGTTTGCTTTTTGCCTGTTTCAGCCCAACTGCTACGCAAAGATCATCACAGTGGACTCCCACAAGAAGATTGTCATCTACTCCAAGCGTGACATCGACGTCAACGAAGAGATCACCTACGACTACAAGTTCCCCTTCGAGGAGGACAAGATCCCGTGCCTATGTGGGGCTCAGGGCTGCCGAGGCTACCTCAACTAGACAGTCGCTGTGGGTTGTTGGCGGGTGCTCTGGTGTGGTTTGCTTCTTCTTCTTTCCTATCAAACATCTATCATCTTTATCTCACCCCTCCTTCTTTTTTAATGTTTGTTACTCTCTTGTAGCACCTCTAATCTTCGGCACTTATATATAACCTTATGGTGTTGCAAGTGCCGTAAAACACGTACTAAAACTAAAAGACAGTTGTTGGTTCACGGGGGAAGGGGATGGGGGAGCTCCCTCGCTTTCCCGTGGCTCTATCCGGGGGTTAGTTGGTCGCTTCTAAGGACAAGCGGGCTAACCCAGATTTCGGGGGGTTTCCAGAAATCTTGATCTACACCAAAAGTGGGCATTGCCCTACCTATAGGAGAAGTTTGGTTTCATTGGTGCGTTTATTTGTTTGGCCATAATAGAGAAAATTCTCCTTGTCTTTTAAAGAAACTGAACATGGGGCAAACACTTTACCTTGATTTTCTCAAAACAGCATTTTT